AAAATTAAAAATAAAAAAAAAATGTATACTTATGTATATATGAAAAAATATGTAAAAAAAATTTTTTTTGTGCTCCATCGAAAAACATTACTATATAATGTGCATATATGTACACATGTATGTATGCTTGTATGCTTATAAATTCTTATAAATTGTGATAACAGAGAGAGAATTTCGTCTACCAGGATATTGACTGCCTTTAAAACAACAAAACGAAAATACTTAAAATAAAATAATGAGAGGAAGAAGAAGAAGGAGAAGACAAAAAAAATAAAGTAAATTTTATAATATAACGTTCATTTTACCACCTTATACCACCTTACATAAATGAATGTATCTCGTTTCTTTTTTTTTTTTTTGGTTCCCCTGTTATATGCACATAAAATACTCTATGTAACATTGAGGTAAATTATATATGCTTGCATATAAATGTTGTATACGTTACGTACATATATGATTAGAGTATATTAAAGTATATATAGGCATTCTCATTTTATACATGCTTATTTACATACATATATAAATTCTTACATATATACATACATGAATATATATGTACATATATGTACATCAAGTAAAGCAAGCAATTTATAATAATTAAATAAAAGCTTGGGGTATAAGAAAAATAATTTTATCAATAAAATATTACATTGTTTTAACTCCTATTTTGATGAATTTTCAGGAGCATAAAATATGTACATAATATGTATATAAAAGTATTATACATAAGTATATTATATTTTAAATTTTAAAAAAAATTCACTTGAAAAAATCATTTCATTCTTGATTTATTACAACATAAGTGTATTAAGGCACTTACATTTTATTATAATTTTTATTTTCGATTTAAATGAATTGAAGAACTATGTGGCGAGATGGAGCCACAAATGATGGAGCATTTTTACCATGATGTTTTTGTATAGGGTATAGGTTGAAACACATAAATTTTATAGATGAAGTTTCTATTACTATTTTCTATTACATTTAGACATTTAATTTATCAATATTGCCATTTAATAAATTTTTTCACAGGAAATAAACAAAAAAAATATTCATAGACATAATAGTGATTTCATACATACATATGTTTGTCAAAAATTTTAGTACAAAATTAAAATAAACATTATTAAAATATAGCTGTTCTTTTCTAATAAATTAAGATTAACGGTTTCTTGTCAGAAAATGTAATTACTTTTGACTTTCTCTTCTTGAAATGCGACTATGTTAAATTTTTATTTAATTTATTATCTTAATTATTGTTCTCTTCCTAAAAGTATGCAAAAAATAACATTTATTACGTTATAAAATTAATTTGAATATTGCTAATTAGGAAAATTTGCTATTTTAAATGTTATACGAATTTATTTGTTTACTTTTGTAATAAAGTAATTTTAAATAATAAGTGTTATAATAAAATGTAATTATTAAATTAATTATATAGTTGTAGAAGATCAAAGTCGAAAATGTTGCTATTTCTATATACACATTTTTAAATTATATGGCTACATTTATATATTCATTACTTGTTTTTATATAGGTGCCTGCTCTAGTTGGCTTCAGTCCGTAATGTTTACATAGTTAAGAATGGGTTTATTTTAGAGTGAACCAGAACTTAAACTCTATAATTTAATAATAGCATATACTCGTATATCTCAATATTACTGTATACATACATATACACATGTATATTTTCCCACATATTGCACAATATCGAACAAATTATTATATAATTTATATTATTAATATTGTTACATATTATATAAACCAAAATTTACGATATTATTTTAAATACTAATGAACGTATTCAAATACATATAAACATATTAATAATGTTGCAAAATCTACATGGCTTAAAACCATCTATGGTCTAAGTAAGCATAAATATAATTCAATGCAATATTTACATATTCATTTGCATGGGTACTTATAATTACATAATTATACATATTTGTACATAGTTAAATTATTTGGTAATACTTTTAAAATAATTACCATGAAAAGAACTTTTCAATTGAACGAAATGAAAATAAGAAAAATTTCATCAAATATAAAATCATTAATGCATAAAATTTTTGCTATTCTTGGAATGGAAAATTCTAAGAATAGGAAATTTTTTTTTATTGATTCAAAAATTTTTTTTTATAATTTTTGTCTTAAAACTTAGGCTGCCTTGTGCAAAATTTTTATATTAAATATCATACATAATTTTAAATTTCTTTTTATAATTTTTCAAACCAAAATAATTCGCAAAGAATATGATCTACCTACACTACAAGAAGTTAGCTTTATAAGGAACTAGTCCGGCTTTCTTAAATAAATTTAAAAATATTAATGTCTTCAACTTTTAAATTTATTTAAGAGTAAATAAAAAACAAATGACTATCTATGTATATGTCTATGTTCTAACGTACTATAAACTTCCAAAAAAATAAAAAAATTTTAAGAGTCACAACTTTTATAATGTATAATGTTGGTGAATTTAGCCTTTATTCACATGTTAAAATAGAACATTTTGTCTGAACACTATGGTAATTTAAATTTCAATACCTAAGTATAATATTATCTTAATTTTATACTCATAAATCAATAATTGATAAATTTATAATTGTCCTCTTACAATATATCCAGCGTTCCCTTTAAGGTTAATATTATATTACTTTAAATGTGTAGCACTATAGGTATAAATAAAACAAAAGTATAACATTAACAACTACATTAACTTAAATGTAATTGAAAGTTACGTACTTTTATTCCGGTAGATGGCTTTATCTATTGAATTCAATTGTCATATTCTCAACAGTAATTGTGTAAGTAAGTTTTGATCTTATACTTATATAAAAAGACTTTAATTTTAAAAAGAACGCAACAACTCGTAAATATTCCGGAATATCTTGGAGTGTTGTATTTCCGTAAACTGTTCCGCAGCAACTGTTATATAACCTTAAATGGATTTAAAAAAAAAAATTATTCCCTAGACTTCTTTGTTATAAATCAAACATGAAATATGCGATTATTTCCCTAATTTTATTTTATGTGTATGTAAACAAGCATTTAGACTTGGAAAAGCACTTAAATTAATTTACTTAAAGAATAGTAATATCTTCATCGCCATTATTCTTACATATGCATATATATACATCAACACAATGTGCTTAACTCATTTTACCTTTTAACTCTATAATTGTCTTATCCAAAGAAAATAATTTAATTTTAAATAAAGAACACGTATAGGTACGCATAATGTCATACATTAGCGGTGCTATATTTAGAAAAAACGCAGAATAAAGGACAAAATTAGCAAAATTATTGTGCATCCAAGAATAATATCATTTTAGTTTGAATATTCTTTAAATATATCGATGTTTTAAAGCATTATATACACTTGATGCATTTATGTAATAGCGAGTTTTGTAAAAATATGGAAAACATCTAAAAATATAGTAAAAATATTTTAAGAAATTTTTTTTCAAAATTCAATTTTTTTTTGTTTTTATAAATAAAAACTAGTGTTCTATTAAGAACAATTCAAAATTTACCCCATGTCTTGTTATTTTTTGTATGAAAATAAATAAATTTAAAATTGTAAATAATTATAAAAAATAATTTTAGCAGACACATACAATTTCTTTAATTGAATGCGTATACGTACGTATACGTACATATATATGTACATATTGTAAAAATGAATTTTACCATCCTACATTTTGTATGAATATGTATAATTAAATATATATTATTAATAGGGAAATACATGTATGTATATATATAAATAACAAATTTAATGATTGAGTCACTAGAAGATTTTTTTTTTTCAGATGAAATTGTTAAAAATAATAAATTAAAATGTACAGTAGAACTCACTCTTAATTAAACTTTTTTTATATTGTCATCGATAAAAACAAATTGTTGCATAACTTGATAATATTAAAAGTACGTAATTTCAAAAAAGATTATTTTATTTGCAATAAAACAGCAACGTTTTTGAGTACAAAAATTTTTTTTCCTTCTTCACTCCTAGGAGGAGCATAGGGCTAGTGCATGATATCATGCCCTGGTTTCATAGCGTCATAGAGTTAACTAGGTAGGTTTATTAATATTTACAGTTTAATTTTCTTAGTTTTTAATATTGAATATTATGAATATTTGAAAATTACTTGAATAATATTTATTAGTATTGTATATTAAGTTATATAATATTGAATATAATTTTTATAGTTACCTGACCGGGGTTTGAACTCAAGACCGTTCGTTTAAAGAACCGATACCATAACCACTGCACCAATGGCCAGGTTGAGTACAAAATAGTAGTACAAAATAATTGGTTATGTAAGTAAACTGAGATTGTTTACATTATAGAAATAATTTATGTTACTAATTACATATTTCTATCCAATTCAAGTACAATTCATAAATTTTTAACATAACTAATAAATTCAGAAATACTTGTTAAAAGTAAATTATGTTCAAATTTTAAATTCAGTTTAAAAAAAAAACTATAATTAGATGATTAATATTCGGAAAATTTTCATTTTTATTACGTACAATTAAGAACTACATTAAATTAAATTTAGGCAGTTGTTGCTTGTAACCACATGTACATATTTTCTTATAAGCAATATGTAATTTTATATGTTCCCTGCTTTTAGAACAAGAAATGAGCGAAAACAAAAACATTGTTTTTTTTTTTTATATTACCCCAGGAAATTAATAATCTTTACAATAAAAAAATATTCAATTAATTTGAAATTTAAAATTAATTAAATTTATACAAATGTTGTAAATTAATTATTTAACTTTATTGTTATGACAATATATGTATAAGGGTTATTATAATTTGGAGTTCTACTGTACTATATACGCAATTTAATATCAAATTTCATATACAAAAGAAAATACTAAATTTAATTACTAAACTTATTATTAAATTAAATTTTATTATAATTTTTGTTATTGTTTTTTGTTTTTTGTGTTTACAATAATAATGTTTGTATATCTTACAGTTTATATATTTGAAGATTCACATAATGCTGGGAAAATGAACGCGCATTTTGAATCGTTATTAAGATTTAAGACGTACATGGTTGTTATTAATTTGAGATAATAAAGAATTTCTTTTTTCTCTTATTTTCTTTCAACACAATATGACGATATTATAGAAAGAATATAGAAAAAAAAAATCGATTAATTTAGAAAAATTTAAACAAAAAACAAGAAAAAAAAAGGTAAGTAAAATATTTTTTATTTTAATCCTGTTTTTATATTAAATATTCCATACCTAAATAATATATATATTTATATATGTATGTACATACATATACTTATACCTATGTATTGAACATATACATATATATATATACGTCAATGTTTTAAATATGTATACAGTTCTTATTTAAAATAATCCGATTTCTGACAATGGCTTTCTCTCTAAATTAGACTTTATTGAGTTTGGTGTTTATTAAATATTATGATGACAATATTTTGCTCACAATTATAGAATAAAAAACCCCTTTCCAAGAAAAAAATACGAAACTAAATTTTAGTAAATAATATTCTCAAGGCTAGCTCCAAAATAACGTTGATTAAAACTGACTTAATATAACTGAGTTTTCGTATGAAATGGACCTTAAAACTGATTTTTGTAGTACAATGTAATATGCAGCAATATTATTACCCAAAAATATTTAAATATGGTTGTATTATTCGTTTCTTTTAAAAATAACAATTGTATTAACTCCCCAAATTACTGAGAAATTTGAGTGAAAAAGCAATAGCAAGAAATATTAATGCAAATTTATTCCGATAGATGACTTTAATAACATTTTGTATGAAAATGATTGTTAAGTACTTGTTATTTGAATTTGCAATTGGTGTAAGTATAATTTTCTTATTTGTTTTTTTTATCGTCAGCACTTTTAAACTCTAATAAGTTAGTTCTCAAATAACCAAGCAGTTCTGATACTTGTTGGGGAAGTATTGATGGCAGCTTAATTTTTGTTTTATTACTTATTATGTTTTTTTCTTTAAAAATGGCAGGATAAGTGTCACGAAAATGTTTGAACATGATAAAATGAAATATAATTTCGGTGGGACAGTCTATCTCTCTTTTACTTACTCACCCATCGATACCTATTAAAGCTTTAATAACTTCTATGCTTTAATAACTTTAAAAACGTCTCCATGGTAGCTTCAATCTTATTTGGGGTTGGGTGCGGGGGGCATACAGAACAGCGTTTATTTTCCAACCTTAAAAATTTTCAATCAAAAACAGTATAATCTGACAACACTTTTTTTTTGAGATGATTTAAAACGGATTTTAAGATGATTTAGAATGGATTTCAAGTATGATTAAAATTGTTATTTTCCCTGTATATAGTAACAATTGAAGCGGTAAGTTGACAAAGGGGTTAACTTGCATTTGTATCTTAACAGATTTTTTCATTAACAAATTGTAAAACTATTAATTTTTTTGTTACTTAAGTCCTATATGTACTGTCAATCTCGCCTTCTATTAAATTTTTTGCTATAAAGGAGTATCAACTGTGATTACTCAGTTGAAAATATATGAAATTTAATCATGTTCTATCAGAGGAGTTCAATTTTCATCAAAATGTTAGTTAACCACTTTGTCCACTTACATTTTCAATTGATAGTTAAGGTGCAGTCATTTCCGATGCATTAATACTTGCTGATTAAGGTGCGGTCATTATAAATTTTATATATGAAGCCAAAAACTTTTCTTTTGGCCTGAAAAAAAACATTGTTACGGATCTATATTTATGCCAATGTTGAAGACCTTTTAATGCATTTTAAAGACTTTAAAGAATTTTTTATTTTGAAAACAGTTGTGAATCAACTATAGTGCTGAGAACCGTCCAACTAATAAATACTTTTTATACCAATCTCGGTTTCACTTATTTTTTAACCATCACGGCATTTTATTGTTTCCATTCTCGGCACTACCAAACTTCAATATTATTTTCTATGCAAAAAATATTTAATTTCTAACCAATAATGAAAAGTTTTACAAATTTCAATTTATTTGATTTAGTACGAAATTTTTTATGAAAACATTATTTGCGCAATATTATAATAAAAGTAAACGAAAATAATTATTCGAATAAATTACGTTTATTTTTTTTTTTGTTTTCTTTTTTCTCCTCCTATATGTTTACTTATCAGTTATTCCTTATTTAAATATATATGTACGTACTTATGTATACATTATGTACTTTTTATGTTATATATAGTACATTAAAGTATAGTTAAATAAAAAAAAATTTATATACGAATATTTATTTTTAATTTTTTTATACTGTCACTTTAAATAATAAGAAAAAACAAAAACAAGCAAAAAAAAAATTATAATTTTTTGTTTCTTTTTTATTATTTCTTTTTTTTTTGGGTTCGTATCATCGCAGTTATAAACTCCAATGGCTTTTTATCCTACGTGGCAAACTGATCCTCCTCAAAGTTGGCAAAATCATTTTATACAACAGTTACCACATCAAAATCAGCCACCATATGCACCTTTAAGCTCTTTAGATTTTCAACCTCAGGTAAGCATTTTTTATTTCTTTATTTATTTATTTATGTATGAGTGTTTATTTTTACGTTGGTTTTAAAATATTTATATGGAGAAATTGAAAAATAATGTTTATAATATAAAAATAAATATCAATTTCATTAAAATATTTTTTTATAATTTTTTATCTGTTTAAAAAAAAAACAAGGTAGCCGAAAATTTAAAGTTGCCTATATTTTAAATAATTGGCAAATTAATTTGTTACATGTTTTGGGAAGTTTCAAAAAATTCACCACTTTAAATTATAGTTAAAGCGGAGTCAAAGCGGATTTAGAGATTAGTTAAACCGAATTTGAGATTTTTATAAAAGATATCTCAATAATGAATTTATTTTAATAGTTTATCAACTCAATAGTTTAACAGTTGTCTACTGCACAAAAGAAAATGTGCAACTTGCTTAAATTAATTCTTGTATATATACGCTATTCTTCACAACTTTATAAAAACAGTGATTAGATGGACAAAATATGTAAAAATTAGTTTTAATGGAAAATAATTTTTATACTAAACTTAAATTTGAAAAACTATAATCTAGAACCAATAATAAATTTAAAAATTTTAAAAAGTTTTAGCGCATAAGATGAAATCTTTAAATCTGTCATTTTCAAAATTCGAATCAATTTTTAAAATGATTCTGCTCAATATAATTTCGATTTACAAAAACAACAAAAATTCGCAAAATTTGTTATAATATACATTAAGTATACTAACATCTAATATTTTTTTCCTACAATACTATATGAAATTGAAAATTCAACCGATGATCAGTATAAAATTATAATTTCACTGAATATAAAAATATATGTATACGCTAAATATGCCAAATGTCGCAAAGGAATTTCAAATTTCATATTGTTAAAATAGGATAAGTAACACAGTTATAAATATTTCTTTAATACTTTTATAACAAAATAATATAAAAATTAATATTTTTATTTTTAGAGCTACTCATACCAGCATCAAAATGGGTATATTCAACCTGGCCTTGGATTTCCAGATCCAAATTATGGTAGATCATATGTAACACCTGTTCATCAAAGATATGATTTACAAAATCAACATTTACCATCAACTGCAGTTGCTGCCGCTGCTGTTGCTGTTAGTGATCCAACGCAAAATCTTGGAATTTCATCTGGTGTTGGTTATCCTAGTCAAATATCAAATGTTGCACCTACTGTTTTTCCATCGCATACATTTCAAGAAAGAAATAAAGCAACAGTACCAACATCAGAACCAAACAGTATTGGTTTTCAACCCGTTAATAATAATATAAGTCAACGTTCTTTTAATTATGGTAGTCATTATTTGGATCTCAATTTGTCGCAAGGACAAACAATTTTGCCTGAACACCAGCAGCAACATCAAACGTCACAACAACAACAGCAACAACAACAACAGCAACAACAACAACAGCAACAACAACAGCAGCAACAACAACAACAGCAGCAGCAACCACAACAACCGCAACAACAGCAGCTTCAACAGCAACAAATCCAACAACAAACACAACCACAATCTCAACAATCACAGCAACAGCAGCAGCAATCACAACAGCAACAGCAATCATCCAATTTACTCCATCAACAGCAACAACAATCATCACAACAAGCTATTCAAAATAAAACATCATCTCATCCCCAAACAGATCATCTTAGTTTTAATAATTGTAAGCAAAATAATGCGACTACTCGCCCACCAACAACTCAAACACCTTCTGGAAACTGTGATAATCAAATGCAACAGCAACCACAACTTCAAACGCAGCAACAACAACAATTTCAACAACAAAAAGAGAAGCAAAATATAGCAATGGCACAAAATGCAGTTTTAAACAATAATATGCATTCAACATATGAACAAATGTATCATCATCAAATGCCAAATTATAATCCTTCATTAGGAATTAATTCGCATTCTATTGATTCACTTCAATCTTTAGTCACAAATCCTAGTCTTATTAATAACAATACTACTGCAAATCAGATTCAACCGTCAAATATAAAACCGATAATCGGTCATACGCCACATAAATCAAATAATCCTCAAGCTTCTCATGTTTCTAATAATACAAGTACAACTCATAATTTATTCACACCGCACAATCTCAATTTATCTCACAATCCTCAAAATTCAAATCATGCCGCACAAATAAATCAAAATACTCATAACAATAATAACAATAATTCATCTAAAAATAATTGGAGATCTCAACAACAAGACTTTAGTACAAATGATTCTTTTAGTAATAAGTCAGAATCAAATAGCTTGAACCCTAAAATGTTGGATAAAAAACATTCCATAAATTACGAAAATCGAGGAGAAAACGTTCAAACTCCATGTCCTACAATTAAAACTGAAATTATCGATGAAAAATCTAGAACTATGGGAAATGCAAACAACTCTATGAATCAACACCAGCATGTTGCTGAAAATTTTCAAAATTACCATCGACCATTCGTTCAAAATGTCCCTAATATTAAAAATGAAATGCAACAAATGCAACGTATAAACGCACCTAACTTAACAAATCAACAAATGAATATGAAAAGTATCACAAAAACTGAAAATGACTACAATATATGGAATCCTCTTGAAAACCAACCTGTTAAAAAAACTAGCGAACGCTTTTCTTCCTTTAATGAACCGGCCAAAGAACCAAAACAAGAGCAATTTTCACAATATAAGCCATATATGAATGTGATAGATGAAAAAGCTTCAAATCATAAAAATAATTCTAATGAAGGTATTCTTTCTTCTATGGTACAACATCAACATATTGCACAGCACAACACTATAAAAGATCCACTAACAAATAATATGCCATATACAGTTGGAAATTATACAGGTAAAAACCCACATCAAAAACAAGTTTATAATCAACATCACCCTCAAGCTATGCCACACCAACTAAATCCACCCGCTAATGTCCACCCGAAATCTCAAACTGATATAACAACTTTAGAGAGTCCGGAAAAAAATTACCAAAACTTTATTCAATATGCTGATTATTGTCAAAATGAGGTTCAGAATCAAAATTCGAATCAAAATAAAATGTTATCAAATGAAGTATCACATCATCCGCAACATCCATCACAAATATTACAACAACCTGGTACTGCTTCTTATCGCGGACCAATGTTTAATCCGTTGTATTATGGTCAAGAAACAAACCAAAATAATCCCAATTTTGAAAAGAAGCTTCTAGATCAAAGTCAAATAAAAACAGAACCAGGTTTAGATTTAAAAGAACCACATTATCATCCACAGCGTTTAAATCATCAGCAACCTCATTATCAACAGGATATTAAGAACATTCAACAAACCATGCAAAAATTTGATCCACAAATGCCGCTCTCAACAAATAATTCTCAACAACATTTAATACCAGAAAATAACCAATACAATTCGCGAAATGAATATCAGCAAATCATACCAAATATGCACCCACATCATAAAATGTCTCATTTAGATAGTAGATACCCATTTAAAGGTGAAGGGGGCCCAGCCGCTATTAAAGACGTAGTTGGATTCTCCTGTTGTAGACAAGGAGGTATACATACGCCAACTAGTGAACATTTACAAGGTGGATTTTGTAGCGGAATGCAGACGAAAGATGAAGTTCTATTGGAAGAGGGAGAAGAAGAAAATGAAAAACCCGTAATTAAACAAGAACCCGGTAATGGAACTGAAACCGAAACTATTAAAACTGAAACTATGGTTCCTTTGCTTGACACATCAGATAGATTGGAAAAGGGAAACAAACCTGAAATTCCTGAATGTGATTGCTTTTCTTCAGATAAAAGTCCTCCTGAACCAGGAAGTTATTATACTCATTTAGGTAAATCTTAAAGTGTAAAAACTGTTCTTATTGTGATAAAATAATTTTTCGCCTTTTGACATGTAGGATCCTCGGCTACCCTTTCCGAGCTAAGAAAAGAAATTGAAGATCGTTGCGGTCTCTCGGGTAGGCAGTTAAGAATCGAAAAAATTTTGTACACAGGAAAAGAAGGCAAAACAACTCAAGGATGTCCTCTCGCAAAATGGATTATTAGAAGAGTTGATCCTGAAGAAAAAATGCTTGTTGTTGTAAAAAAACGACAAGGGCACAAGTAAGTTTGACATTAAACTATAAGCAATAATTCGATACTATTCTTATACAATTTATATAATTCATATATTAATGAAATTGCAGATGTAATGCCACTTTCATAATTGTTTGTCTTGTTGTTTGGGATGGTATGCCAAGATACGAAGCAGACATGGCATATGATAAACTAATAGGTAAACTAAATAAATTTGGCTTACCAACAACTCGTCGTTGTGCGACAAACGAAAATAGAACGTGTGCTTGTCAAGGTGGCTTAATGATTACATTTTTGATTAAACCTGTATTAAACTAATTATTTAAAAAACTTTTCAACAGGTCTTGATCCAGAATCTTCTGGAGCATCCTACAGTTTTGGTTGTTCCTGGTCTATGTATTATAATGGTTGTAAATACGCTCGCTCAAAAACTGTTCGAAAATTTAGGCTATCAGTTAAAAACGAAGAAATAGAAATCGAAAAACATATGAATTCCTTAGCAACAATCTTAGCACCTTTATTTCATAGGGTAGTACCAAAGTCTTATGATAACCATGTCAGATATGAAAAAGAAGCGCCTGAATGTCGACTTGGGTTAAAACCTGGTAAACCATTTTCAGGTGTTACAGCTTGCCTTGATTTCTGTGCTCATGCTCATAGAGATTTACATAATATGCAAGATGGTTGTACGGTTCAAGTAACTCTGTTAAAGCCATCAAACAGAGATATTAAAACACCAGATGATGAACAATTCCATGTGCTTCCATTATACACTATGGATACTACAGATGAGTTCGAAAACGCCGATGCTCAAAAAGAAAAAAACAAAACTGGTGCAGTTCAAACCCTTGAAAAGTAAGTTTTCTCTTTTCATATAATTTTATTCCAAAAATTTTTGATTTATGAACATTGTTATCTTTTTAGATATTCGTGCGAAGTTCGAGTACGTTCTACTCCTTTGCAGCCATGCCGAAGGCACGGTAAAAAAAGAGTTAACGGAAAAGAGATTGAAGAGTTTGATGAAACCCCTATAAAAAAAGAAATGTTGCCAAATGACTCACCAGGCTCTCCTACAACTACAAAAAAAGATGCCTGTAAAATTAAACCCAAGCAAAAATCGAACTCAATAGACATAAGTACGACGAATGATCAAAGTTCAGAATCGTCGCAACCGCCAACTCCACAACAGCCACCGTTGCAGCAACAACAACAACCACAGCAACAGCAACAACAACAACAGTCACAACTACCGTCACAACAACCACCACAACAATTACAGCAATCACCTCAACAACAGTTTAACATTCAAGAAAAAATTCAGCAGGGTCATCAAACAATACCTCAGCCATCTACAACTCCAATTAAGCGAAATACACCACCTCCGTCACGGGGTCCAACTCCTGTGACAAATTTTCAAAATCAAACAACGCCTAGCCCTTTTACAACTGCAGCGCCAACAAATCAAACAGCTGCTCAGATGCATATGTCTACCAATTCTAGTCTTTTAAATATGGCAACTATGATCGACAATTTCACGGATGCCCAACTTCAGTCAAATCAAATATCGAGTACTGTGTTAGACTCTCCATACTCCTATGACTACCAGACAGGCTCTTATATTGAAAACCGTAACTATTATAACAACTGGTCTTCCACGCCAACTGCGCAAGCTCCTGCCACGCCAATAACACCAAATCAGACATCTTTGCCAAATAACAATCCTAATTTGGAACAACATAATACACCCATAAATAATGAAACTCCTCAAATGCAAATGATGCAGCACAATAATGGTAATTCAAATACGAATCAGCAACAGCAGCCGCAGCCGCAACAACAACAGCACCAACAGCAACAACAGCCACAACAGCCACAACAGCCACAACAACCACAACAGCAACACTCATACGCATCTGGTTATTCTGGAAATTATTTTATGAACTCATCTTCGCCAACTTCGACATACGAACACTCTACTCCGCCACAAATTCGGCCGAATTATAATGTTGATGCACAAACAATGGATGTTAAAAATAAGGGGAATATTGAAGATAATCCTGATTCGACCACATATTTAAATGAAGTGAAGAACGCTAATCAAGCGTCTATGGCACATGAAAACGAAACTAAGCCTGTAGTCAACAATAATTTTGTAAAACCAAGAAGTTTCCAAGACCATCAGTTTCCCCACCAATATCCTAATAACTTTCAAATGTATCCGTCACATCATCCAGTACCACCCCCAAATGCCGGTAATTACCCACCATTTGATTCGTATCCAAATATGAATTATAACTATAACTACCGTCATCAAACATATAACCGTTTTAATAATGTGTATCCGCAACCACCGCCTACAGTTCCACCACCTCTAGGACCCCCTACTTCTCCATGGAACTTATACCCTTCTTCGACTTCGGAACATTCTTTTGGTACTCCGCAATATTATAGAATGCACCAAGAAAAAACTTATACACAACTAACACCAAATATGCATCCTCATCAAAATGAAATCCCACCACCACCCCAACATAACCCAATGCTTACACAACAGCCACAACCGCCAAATGAATGCAAACCAACTGTTAAAGTAGAACCAATAGGTGAAGTAACAGAAGTTAATGACAATCTTGAAGCATTTTCCGATTCACAAATGGGTGGGGTAGCAATTGCTTTAAATCATGGAAGTGTTTTAATTGAATGCGCTAAACATGAAATGCATGCAACTACTGCGTTAAAGAAACCAAATAGGTTACATCCAACTAGAATGACACTTATTTTCTATCAACATAGAAATCTAAATAGATCCAGGCACGGAATTGATGAATGGGAAGAAAAGATGCGTATTAAAAAACATAATATGGAGGTTGAAGCAAAAACCAAAAAGAAAAATTCCAAATCAGACATAAAATCGGAAATTAACATTAAAATGGAAATATCTAGTGATGAAAAATCAAACATGAATTCGGAAAACGATATCTCAGAAAATTCAAATCCTTTGAATGATGAACAAAGTAAATCAAATGACAAAAACGGTGCTGATTCCAAAAATGGTTCAACTGGTGAAGGTGATCCAAAAAATGATAAACTTGTTATACGAGCACCAACGTTAACTACAACCTCTTGGACTACATTATTTCCAATGCATCCTTGTGTAATAACCGGCCCTTACCAAGAGGGTAACACTAATAACAACAACAACAATAATAACAATAACAACGGTAATAATAGTAACACTAATAATAATAATAATGGTAATAGTAGCAATAATGGTAATAATAATAGTAATAATAATAATAATAATAACAATAACAATAGTAACAATAACTGCAATAATATAAACAATAACGGTAATACTAACAATCTTAATACTGGTAACAGTAATAATAATAATATCATAAATAATGGTAACAATAGTAACATGAATAGCAGTAATATTAACAGTTCTAATGGAAGTAACAATAATAACAATAGTAATATTCAGTCTTCAGCTACCTCAATCAAAACTTAAATTAAATGAAAAAAAAATTTAAAACGACAACACCCTTAATAAATCTTAAAAAAAAAAACAAATTAAAAAAAAAAAACAGTATTGCATATTCAAAGAATAAATTTTTTTCGAAAGTCACTAATATTATTTTTTTAATTTTGTGAATATTATTTTTATAAATTATGACATGTGAATAATTAAAAATATTTAGTTTCCAAATCGTATAAAATTTCAAATTTCCAAAATTAAATGTTTCAAAAATTATATTAAAAGCGTTGTTTGTTCATCAGACAATTTAAAAATCCATAAATCCATTTCTATTTATTTTTATTTAAATACGTAAGAAAATATGTCATAATTTATGAAAAAAAAAAATTATAAATTTACATTTTTCATATTTATTATAATGAGTTTATAGTGTTGCCGTTTAAATAGAAGTTTATTGTTGATTTCAACTTTAATTGAAAAATCATAAAAATTTAGTAAAAAAATATAAGATTATTATGAAAATATTAAAAAAATAGAAATTGAGAGTCAGTTTTTTTTCTTTTTTTTTGTAAATTAAATTCATCTATATGGCATTTATATTTTCATTTTCATCATAGCATTTACTAAATCATTTACATTTTATTAAATAACTCTCAATTTGTGCCATATTTACAAACTTTGCAAAAAAAAAGCAAAATGAAATTTTTAATCAATTTAAAACGAAAATTATAATTAAGAGAAAAATCAACATAAATAAATTATTAAAAAAAAAAACAAAAATAAAAAAAGAATATTGAAAAAGGAAAAAAGAAATAAAAATTTATTACATAATATATAAAATAATTAAAAAAATTATGAATAATACAATCATACGTACTATATATATATATATAGGATACTTAAAATTAAAATTAATATAAACAAACAAAAAATTAATATATAAAAAAAAGTATAAAATAATGCAGAAAAAGAAAAAAAAACAAAACAAAAAGGAAAATAAATAACGTGCATGTAAATTTGCATTTGTATTTAAGTAAATTTAAGCAAAACAAAAATTATAAAACAACTAAACTATATATATATATATATATATATATTAATATGGCATACTCATTAGTTATAATAAAATATATATTAACGGTTAATGTAAAATATACATATATTATACGTATTAATTACATATATATATATATATATATATATATATATATATATATATATATATTTAAAATGAATAGGTACATGTTAATAATGTGTAACACATACATATATACGCAATTTTCATCAAAAAAAAGGAAAAACAAAAAAAAATGTAGCTTATTATTACATAAGTAAAAAAAAGGAAATAAATACAATACTCTTTTTCTCTCTCTGTCTGTCATTTTTAATGTATGCATAGAAAATTAATTTCTTAAAATATTTTTTTAAGTTAAAAACCACAAAAAAAAAGAAAATAATAACAAAAATTTAAAGACAAAAAAAATAGCAAATAAAAACTGTAAATTAAATTTTTTTTTTTAAATTTTATTTTTAATTCCTTTTTTTTTTAAAAAAAAAAAACAAAAACCGGAATTAATATTTAATATTCGTTTGATATATATGCATATTTGTATATATATATTTATGCAATATGCTATACATATACATATGTATATGTATGTACCTACCCAACCTAATAAATACATATAATGAAACTAAAAATATATATATACATACATATTTTTGTGCATTAAAAGAAGAAAAAAAAAATATTTAATATCTAAATAGGTTGTTTTAATTATTACGTTTATTTTAATTATAATTTAAATTTTTTATTTTTATAACAAAAAAAAAAAATGCAAAGAAATAAAATTTTCGTAAAAAATTAAAGTATTTAAAATACGTCTTATTTAGTATAAGGTAAATTTACATAATATTATTATTAAAATATAATATTTTCAATTATAATTATTATAAAAAAAAAATTATTATTGTACTTCTTATATAATAGAGTATTAAAAAAAAACTAAAGACTTATGTATTATTTTTTTTATTATTATTATTTTATTTGTACTTGTTTCCTTATTTTCTGAATAAAATTTAGTATGTAACTGAGAAGTATTAATTTTTGATTTTTAATTCAACACTTTAAGTTTGAAAACTTAGGTCGCTGTCATCATTGTCACAAAAAAAAATGGATAAAAGGAAAAACTCCATACTAATTTTTTTGAAAAACACATTTTCCATTAATTATTTTTTTAAATTTTGAATTTTTCTATTTGCGAAACACAAACAAAAAATATTTATTCGGCTTTTTTCAAAGGAAGACGAAATGCTAGTTGAAACAACGTCTGCAGTTGAGCAGTGAAAACAAGATGAAAAACACATGATATTTTTGTGTAAAATGATCGATGTAAACAGCATCCAAAATATACATTGGCAAAAGATTCTTAAAAAGATTTGTTGTAATGTTAGTTTTGAATTTTCCATAATGATTTATTATGAAAAATTTAAGCAATTTTACAAATAAACTTACATGGTATAATTGTTATCGAAATATACATATTGTATATTGACATTTATAGGATTTACATATATATACTTATTTATAATTATATAATTAAAATATATTTAATATGCATATATTATATACATATAATATAATTGTTACTGATCTTATTTTGTAACCCAATTTAGTTTGACTTCATTTATCTTATAACATATTTAGTGTTTGACTTGAAAATTGATAAATTTGATAAATGAAACATTTGACATTTCTTTTTATTGAAGATATAAACAAAGTTATTTACTTTCAAAGATATTTAAAAAAATGGACTCTAAGACAATATTGTTATACAAACTTCTTCGCTAATAACTTTACTGTGTTAGCTTCAATTGTTGTAAAGAAATTAATCTTCAAGACAGAAATATTGGCAACTACTATAACGAAGGATAATTGACAATGTTAACGAAAATAGCTTTATTAGTGTTAACTAAAAATAGCAATCAGTTTTGTTAAAAAATTAAAAACTGTTTGATTGTTTAATTGCATGCTATCATACAATTGCGTATTGGTATACAAATAAGTAATCAAGCAGTTTCAAAATTAAAAAATGCATGTCTGCCCCCGGCCTTACTTGTCAAGTTTTTTTAATTTAATTGTTTGTCATTCGGACTTTTTATTATATATTTTGCTGGTTTTCTATATTAATTGTCAGCTTTGATTTTGTCATATGAAACAATAAAAAAAAAAAAAATGAAAACAATCAACATTATTAAAATAACTTTTTCTACTATCAATAGTAAACACTACTCGCAAAAAATACTAATTTTAGTGATTTTTTTTAATACTTTTATCTCTTTCTTTTCTTTTAATACTTAGCGGGAATTTGATAGTTCTATCATCATATCTCTTCTAGTTGCATAGATGTGTGTCAGTTATATCATAATAAGAAACGTTATAATATTAATGCAAACTCAATATCAATTTTATGGCTCATGGCATAATAATCTAATTCACAATAGCAATTTTGTCCGTCAGAGCACTCTGGTGATAAATATATCAGTATTTTTTTTTAATTTGAAGTTTTCAAAATTATTTGATGTATTTATTTTAATATATAACTTAATTTTCAAAATTAACTTATAACAACAAATTTGAATCTTTCCAATAGTCTCACGGATTTTTAATATAATATTGAGAGATATTGTATATTTAAATTACAATATCTTTATTACATTACTGTCAGTATATTTATAAAATATTATAAAATAATAATAATATTTGAAACTTTTCCGAGACTATTGTGAATACGAGACAAGTTTCATAAAAATGTTGATAGCAACGTTTTTTAGCGGGAATTTAATAGTTCTATCATCATATATCTTTTCATGTCGCATCGTTGTCAAAAAAGTTTCGCTAACTTAATAGTTGATTGGCAAAACTTTAATTTGCGAGTGTTTAATAGATGTTTTTATCTAGTGGAATTTTTAGATTAAAATATCGTATTCAATTGAAATTTGTTAATTAATTATTAATATAATTTTAAAATATTATGATATAAGATTATTTAAATAGTTTACAAATGGTGAAAATGGCCTTAAAAAAGAGAAAACTTGGTATACCTGAGAGTGCGAAAAGGTATTGTTGCATAAATAAATACTAGTGTCATATCTCTTATTAGGTGTTAAACAAATAAAATAAAGAAACTAAAATTTTGTTTAAAAAGAAAATCAATCAACATTTTTTTCCAATTTCGTTTTTGAATACAATATAACCTTTTGAGTCCTATACATTTGTTCATAATTTTCGTGCAAAAATATAGTTTTTACAGACTGAAGCGAGCAAGTTACGGAAATTATAAAGGAAAAAAAATGACAAAATGGATATGCTTGTAAATAAATTCTAAGAAAAAAAAATATATTTTATATATTTTTTCTAATTTAATATCGTATAAAATATTTAATCTAATACTGTTCAAAAATATTTAAAAAAAAATAATTTAATCTAGTATATAGAAATCCAGAATGGCGCAAATATTCTGATTTTTTTTTTGTGGGAGCTATGGTTCTATCCTAATTAGTAGCATCATCACCTATAGAATGTTTTCTATATATAAGATATATGAATAAAAATTTTTTTGTTTTTATTATCGTTCTATCTATTATTCATGATTTATCTAAATAATTACTATTTCAATTTTTTGAAGATAGTGGCAAATTGTATTAAGAATGAACATTTTAATTTATCGTGTTATAGATGATATAAAAAATATTTGATGTGGCTTTCTATATAAATTTAAATGAACTTGTTTAAGTGTAAAAAAAAACTATAGGTATAAATTTTTTATCGAATTACTTATTATCATGTGATATTAGTAGTTTTTGAAACGCCAACAGTAAAAAAAAATCAGGATTTTTTATATTAATATTTGTGATTTAAACATGTCAAATTAATATAGAGGTTGTTAATTTAAAACTGTGTAGGATAAACATATGTGTACAAATAAGTATAATATGTATATATAATAAATCTAAAATAGTTATATGTAGAAATATAAACAACGCTGTTAAATATTCCAGTCATAGTGATTCAAAAAATTGTGCTTAGAAATGATAGAATAAAAAAGATCTATTATTAAATATTATTTGGGGATCTTACTAACTTATATTTAGAAATAGCATGTGTCAAAAAAATTTTTTTAGGTTTGATTATTTAACTCTAGATTTAAATAATTAATTTCTTTCTATTTTTAGGCCGAAAGCTCAAAGGAAATTTGCTCAAGGACAATTTTTTCCTTCAACATCATCATACGCCTATAATTGCAACTCAGTAACAGCACCTCCAGTTAATAATTATAATGCAGAACCTCCTCCTGAGATTTTTCCAAATCGTCCTAATACAGAAGATTTTCTTACATTTCTTTGTTACCGAGGTACTCCTTCTCTACCTACAAACCTTGATTTTGTAAAGTCTGCACAACAGAAATCAAAAAGCGATGCAAAAAAATCAAATCAGAACTCAACAACACCTCATAAATCCCCGGGGAGGAAGAAAACAGTATCCCCGTCCAAGAATTCTAATGAACCATCTACTTCTGCAGTTACGCCTACTAAAAGAAAAGATGTGTTAGATAAAACAGAAAATGAAGATGTTCCGCCAAATAAAACAAAGAAAAAGGAGGTAAACCAGCAAAATAATACAGGATCTGGAAAGTCACCAAAAGGTAGAAAATCTGATCCACCTAGTGCAACATCATCTCCCAAAACTATTATTAAAGGCAATAAAAAGGTAACCACAGTTACTAGAAAATCCCTTCGTACAAGAGTAAACATCAATAATTTCGCTGAGGATTCCAAAGAATTTGAGGATGATGAAGGAATTGATAGCGTTGAACTAGAAAATACTACGAATAATGACGTTAAAAATTTACACAAAAATGAGCCAAAGGAGAATAAACTTAATGAAAATGGTAAAACAGATGTGCAAAATATAGAAAAATCAGTAATAGACAAAATCAACTCGTCAATTGCTGCAAATAAAGAGCAGCCCGTTAAACAAGAAAGGCCAGTTGGGCGGCCTAGAAAATATCCAATTTCACCCAAGGTAGAAAAACCAGCAAAAAAACTCGATACTTCTAACAAAACTGAATCAACTCAAAATAAACAAAATGAAACGAATTCCATGGATATAAATCCAACAACGCCAACAAAAAGTCAACGCAATAAGAAAATGTCAAAAAAATCTAAGTTAGAAATATCAAACGAGAGTAAAGAGGATATACAAGATGCCGACGATAGTAAAAAATCAAGCGACGACATTAATGATGTAGACAATATTCCTCTAAAAGCAAGATTGTCAAAGAAAGAAACTCCAAATAAACAACTGTCAGAGTTAATCAATGCAGAAAGCCCTACTCCGAAAGAAAATATTGATAAACAAAAAGTAACAAAGAAAAAGGGAAGAAAAAGTTTATTATCAAAGAAATTGGACATTGACAAACCAACGAATATTGAAAATATTGTTGCTAATGGTATTCAAGGAAGAAAAAAACTTTCGAAAGCTATTGTCAATAAGCCAATTTTAAAAGAGAAGAAAGAAAAGAAAACACCTGGTCGGAAAAAGAAGATAGTATTAGATAACCAAGAAAATAAAGAAGAAAAAGACGAGGAAAAAGAAAAAGCTGAAGAAAGGCTTGACAGTGGTCGACCTCAACGTAAAACAAAAGAGGCAGCTGCAATATATATGGAATTAATTGGTCATAAGCTTAATTCGGATAACTATGAGGAAGATGATAATTCATCTGAGAGTTTTCCTGACCTCCCTAATGTTAAAGAAACTGAAAAATTAGAACAGGTAACATTAAAAAATTTATAGTCTTTTTCCAAAATCAAAAATGTTTTTATTGCTTTTCGCAGGAAATGAAATTAAAGGCGAATATTAAATCCAGGAAGCCAGAAAAAGAAAGAAATAGGGAAAATGAAAAATTAGCATCGACAATAGAATCAGAAAATGAATCAAAAAAACCTTTAGAGAAAACAAAAACTATTAAAGCAAAACGAAAAACTATCGAAAAGGGCGCAGGTGTTGTTAAAAAGAAAGTTTTAGTAAAAAAGGCTTTAAAAAGAGGTCGCAAGCGAAAAATAATGAAAGAAATCAAAAAACATATAACAGGTGATACTGAAAAAGGAAGTGATGAAGAAATTGAAGAAATTGAGCAAGTACAGAAGGGAGACAACGTCAATGAAAATGACGCAATTCAAAATACATTCAGTGAATCAGATGATGAGCCCCTAGCAGTTAAAATATGTAAGGCAAGTGAAAGTCAGCCAGACACTACACAACAAAAATCACCTCTCCCACGAAATTCAATGTTTAATCCCGAAAACTCAAAGTCATCTAAAATGTCAAATGAACCCTTAGAGCCAGTATCTAAAAACACTTTCCTAGTTTCTAATGAACAACAAAATCTTCTACAATCTGGTGAAAATTATATAAAAAAGCCTACTGCACCAATCACAAATCAATTTAATACCAAGCCTGATATACCGAAGTCTCAAGAAAATAATGATTTTTCGGGAAAGTTCCCTAGTTTTCCTCCAAAACCAAATTTAGGGATTGGTTTATCATCTACAACGACTCCTCGACCTCAAACAATAGAGACATATCCATCAGCTATTGTTAATCCAACATTCCTAACACCGAAGTTCGAAGGAAATGTGGATGGCAGGTTGCCTGTTACAACTGAGTCAAATCAAAGACCTTTAGCTTTTTCTGCAGCATTAAAAAATGGGAAAAGTTCACCACAAGGAAACTTGGCACGCAACCAAGATGAATCAGTTCCTACTTCGTCATCATTCGGATTTAAAAGTACAATTACTACGACACCAACTCCAAGTGCGTTTGCTACAAATCTGATGCCTAGTAAGGAGGAATCTGGAAAAATTTTTGGAATTGCTAGTGTCAGTTTAGCACAAAGTTCAGGTCCGGACAATACTAAATGCACTTTGGGTACGTAAAAGGAAATATTTTTTAAAAGTACAGACCCTTATATTTATTATTTCTGAATTTTAGGAAAGTGTGGTTCAATTCATAAACCAACATTGGGACCTGTTGTTCCAACAGAATCCTACTTAGGGGAGCAGCTATTATCGAGTAAGGAACGACGAAAAGCTAAAGTCAATATGACCCATGAGCAGATTCATAAATGGTTAATTGAGTGTTCATCTAATCCTGATGAAATACAAGATGATCTTGATGAAGATTTCGAAGATGCTTATAAATACAATTCATTTAGTAATCCTTCCCCCACTTTGTCTAAATATGAAAAAGAACCAAGCACATCTTTTAATAGCAAAAAAGACAAGGAGCAATCAAGTATTCCTTCTGTTAAAAATGAAAGTGCTTGGTCTGGTAAAGGACCTTCATTAAAAGCAGTACCTGTTGTTGTCAATAATGAAAAAGAGGTTTTCAAGTCTGGCGATACTACAGAAACTAAAAAACAAAATATTTTCGAAGTCGGGAAAAGTCCCTTAAAGGTAAATAAAGAAGAAGAAGAAAAACAAGAGGAAGTAAAAGAAAAAAAAGAGGTCGCAAAAAAGAATTGTCCAGAGAATTTGAATGTTAATCCCGAAGGAAAATCCTCAAAAAAGAAACAAGATAAAGCAGAAAAAGTTTCAAATATTAAAGCTAAAAAATTAGATATAGAAAAAGAAAATGCAACAGAAAAAATTAAAGAAAAAGAAAAGGAAAAGGAAAAGAGTCCGAAAAGCCCTACTGAAAAGAAAACTGTTTCGGAATCGGTAAAATCGACAAAAAAAGGAACAGAAAGTCCTACAAATCCATCTATTACTCCTAATACACCCGGGGCATCGACGTCGCAATTAACTTTTCAATCCAAAAAATATTCTCCGATTCATAATAAACTTCGACAGCCAACAAAAGACTTGGATCGTTTGAAAGTATTTTCAAATACATTCACAAACTCAGGAGATAATGAGAAAAGTGTATATACTTTTGATAAAGATGATGACGAGCTACCGCCTATTGCAAGAACATTCCGTCAACCTGTTCAAAGAGGTTCTGATACTGGTGGTGAACGAATAGATGTGGATAAATCTGAAACTAAACAAGAAAGCAAATCAAACGGGAGTAAGAATAATGAATCAAATAACAACACCAGCGAGATAATAAAGAAGGGTACTTTTAATTTGAGTGTAAATAAAGTTAATGAAGAAGATGCATGTCAAACTGATACAACTAGAAGTAAAAAGTCATCGAAAATAAGGAGAAAATCAACTATGAATGAATTTATTTTAAATGATTCTGAGGGTGAAACTTTTTATATTCCTATACAAGGTGCCGCTTTGACAAATTCTGTTGGGTCAAATAAATCTGATGTTTTACAAGCTGTAGAAGTTAAGGTGAAAGTGGGTCGTGAAGGACCTGATGGGCCAAATCAACGGGTTAGTGTGCAAGCAACTTTAGTTACAAAACCTAATTTAACTAGAAGTTCATCACCTACATTAGCAGTTAGTGCAATTAGTTCAACTCCCGCTGCTGCCACAGAATCTGATGATAAAAAATCGGTATCTAAATCATCTACAAGTCAAGTAGTCGGATCCAAAAGTGTACCAATAGGTAAATGATTTTCAAAATTCTATGAAAGACGATCGTAAACTATTTCAAATTTTTTAGGCACAGTTACTCCTAGATTTAAAAGTGAAGGAGCAGCAAACAACGGCGGTTTGAAACGAGTTAATTCAAATTCGTCGCTGTTGTCTGGTTCAAATAAATCTCGAAACAAACAAAAACCCTCAACATCATATGCTAAAAAACGTAAAAGTAATACACCTATAAAAATGTATAATAATACTGCATTTCCACGTCGAGACGATCCCGCACAAATGGTAGAAGCTCCCGTTTTTCGACCTACAGACAAAGAATTTCATGATCCAATGGAGTTTATAGAACGAATAACACCAATTGCCGCCCGTTTTGGTATTTGTAAGATAATTCCACCTTTAAGTTTCAAACCAGAATGTAGAGTATCAGATGAAATGAGATTCTCTGCTTACAATCAATATGTACATAAAATGTTATATCGTTGGGGTCCTAATGTAAAAGAATTGAATGCAATCAAAAAACATTGTCAAACTCAACGGGTTTCTTTAACACCATTTCCACTTATTGGACAAATGCAAGTAGATTTACCACGACTTTACCATACAGTGCAAGAATTGGGTGGCTTACAAGAAGTCATGGAAAAGAAAAAATGGAATCGTGTAGCTGATGAAATGTGTATACCAAAACTGGCACAAGATCGAGCAACACGTTTAGATGATATATATTGTAAATATTTATTACCTTACGATACGTTATCATCAAATGAGCGGCAAAAGTTGTTTGATGAGGTTGAGTCTGATTGGGCTAAATGTGAAGCAAGAGGTAAAATTATAACTTTGACCTGTATTAAGAATTTAAACTAACATTTGTGTTTTAGCTCGACGCACAGCAGATTTTCTTATAAATTCTGAAAATAATAGTTTTGAAGAAAATTTTAATGAACCAAGTGAAGATTCCGAAGAAGAAGCTGACGGTGTATCAATGGAGTGTATAGTTAGAGGGAAAAGTATGCCATTAAAGCAGTTTGTACGAATAGCTAGAAATACATGTAGTTTGTGGTTTAAAAATGTTGAACCAACAACATCAGAAGTGGAATCAGAATTTTGGCGTCACGTTGCAGTTCGCGATAGTCACGTATGCGTTCATTCAGGATCTATTGATTCTAGTGGATGGGGTTATGGGTTTCCTTCACCGGGCCCGAAAGGAAAAGGCTCTCACTGTGCAAAGCATCCGTGGAATTTAAAAGTTTTAACAAATAATCCGGGATCCGTTTTAAGATCCTTAGGGCCTGTTATGGGTGTAACCGTACCTACGTTACATGTTGGCATGCTTTTTAGTGCATGTTGTTGGTATCGTGATCCACATGGTTTATCCTGGATTGAGTATTTACATACGGGAGCAAGCAAAATCTGGTATGGTATACCAGATGATCAAAGTACGAATTTCCGTTCAGCATTAACATCATTAATACCAAGTCATTGTCAAAATAAAACAATATGGTTACCTTGTGATACCGTAATGGTACCACCGCATATGTTGACAGATCGTGGTGTATCATTATGTAGAACAGAACAAAAGCCTGGAGAATTTGTTGTAATATTTCCAAGATCTTATACTTCAAGTATTTCAACGGGGTATGTTGTATCTGAAAGTGTATATTTTGCAACAGCAACGTGGTTAGAAAGTGCAAAGGATGATTTTAAGGTAAAACTTCATTTTAAATATTTTTGCAAACACATTTTATATACGTAATTATTTTTAGGACATACATGATAGCTGTGAACCTGCATTATTTTCTTTAGAACAGTTACTTTTTTCAATAGGATCAGATCAAAGGGTCCCAAAAGAAGTATTAGAACAGTGTTTACCTATGCTAATAGAAGTTTTTGGAAAAGAAAAAGAAGCTCGAAGCCAAATCGAGGTAATTTTAACATAATCTTTAAATTTAATTATGTGTCTGTACATATACACACATATGTTTTAAATTATTTATAAAATGTTTTCATATTTAAATTTTCCTTTTTGTTTTAAGGCGTTGGGGGTTGCAATTACAGAAAAAATATCACAGGAGAAAGGTAAAAATAAAAAGAAAGTTGTTAATATCGAAGAAGATAACGAATGTGATATTTGTCGTGCAAATTTATATATTTCGGTGGTAAAAAGCAATGATAAAAATAGTACATATTGTTTAGAACATGCCCTTAAATATATTCGCAAAGGTAATATATCACCAGATCAATGCACATTATTATATTCATATTCAATAGATGAAATTAATGAAATGATTCAAAAAGTTAGAGGACGTCTTGAGCAAAAAAAATATTGATAATATAAATTTAGATTAAATGTTATATGTAAAATTTTCATATATAATATTAAAATTAATATTAAAATTGATTATACATATATGTATTTATACTTATTTATATACATATACGTAACATATATATACATAAATATAGATATATATATAAAGAACATAGATTACATAATCAGATTGTAGTATGTAAAAAATTATTAAGGAAAAATAAATATAATAATGAATTTGATTAATTTAATTTTAAATGTCTTGGTGTATTTGATAATAAAAAAAAAATGATAAAAAAATTAAAGTAAAAGCAACACAAAAAAAATCGTTTGTTAATATTTTTATTTTTATAGTTTGATTATTATTATTATTATTTTAATATTATTTTATTTATAGATAAGCATGCATTGGAATATCGTTTATAATTTTATTTCATTTTAATATTTAACATGTAAGAATTCTAAATAAAATAATTAACAGCAAAGAAATACATTTATTATATCACTTATTAAAATTATTTTTTTTTTTAAACAACATGCAATCATATAAAAATTTTTATTATAAGACGTTATAAAGAACTTTTATTAAGTTAGAAATTTCCTTAATATACTTTAATTTAATTTACCAAAATTAAACAGTCTTTAAAAGTTTTTGCAATAATTTACGAAACTTATTAATATTTTTGCATTTTCATATTTTGTTCATACCAAAATTTTTTTTTAAACAAGTTTGAAAAATTTGTATTTTTAAAAGTTTTTAATTTTTTTATGAAGCAAAACACTACTAATGGTGGTGTATAGTTTCGCATCTTACCCATGTATTGTAATACTATATTATTACAAGGAACCCTTTTAGTTAGCTTGGAGTAAACATGTTTTTCCCTTGGTAGTCTATGCAATGATTTCACGTGGCTAAAGACAACACATTTTGCTATATATATATATATATATATATATATATATAATGCATATATATTCTACAATATATCGTATGAACTTTTCAAAAATATATCGCATGATTTTACTTAATAAATACATACCTTTTGTTTCAACGCTCCCCGCGTTTGCGTGCACCGCATTTCAGTTCTCAAAAAAGTATCGCAATAAAATCTCCTCCAGTTTTCAGGAGCTTGACTTGTAAATATGCCATAACACTGTATATTAACTTTTCCACCAATCTCAGAATCTTATTATTTATTAGCCTGAGCCTTACAAAAATTAAAACGCGATTCATAACGATTTTGTTTTGTGTAACTATAACTAATTCTCTCTCTCTACTTCGAAATTTCAAAGAGAGCTTAAACTAAGTAAAAAATATAATTTACTATTTCAATTTTTTTTTAATATTTAAATAAAAATTTAGGATATGAACCATAATGCCTCACAATTTTCTTTTTAAATTAAAAAAAAAATTAAAAACGTTACGGACACACGTATGTATGTATATAGAATTCTATTCTTTGTATTACTGAAGAAAACCTTATTCAATGCCAATTTTTTCGTATTTAACAAATAAATTTGTATATTTAATGTTTTTATTTTTTATCATATAATTTTTTTAATAAAAATTATTCTATTTTAATTCGATATTAAGACGAAATTTCTAATAAACAAAATCTTATATTAATCCATAAAAAATGTTATACTGTTATGATGTTGATTTGATGAGTCATTTTTTTTTTGCAACTTGTAGAACAAAATCTAAAATATGTATATTTAAAATAAATTGTTCGTTTGTTGTTTTTGAAAACTTTCAAATAACGAAACTGTTTATTACACTACATTTATATTAGACTTAATTTTCTTTGTGTAATAATTACATATGTACATATTTACTTTTATTTAGAAACCGTCTTGGATTAGTTTTCATTACATATTAATATTAAAACTAAGCACATTATAAATTTGTAAAAGCCTTTCAAATATGAAAGAATTGGTATTTGTTCTTTTATATTCTTGTTCATTTATAGTCGCCCCATAACTTTATTAATAATATTTAATAAGTTTCTATTAGAACATGTTATGAGAACTATATTAAAATTTTATACATATGTATGTATGTACATCGTAAATTTTTTAATGAAAAAATACTTACATATGTATGTATGTAAGTAAGAAGGAAATGTACATTACATATTATATGTATGTATGTACATTTTTACTTATAGTATATTCTATTTATTCATTATGTGTGTAGGCACATACTTTTCTTATCAACAAACAGTGACTTATTAAGGCTACAGGCTTGAATTTATTATGCGTCTAATTGTAGGATTTTATTGAATAAAAAAGTATCCTGAAAATTATTATAAATACATTTTAATATAAATATTTATGTAAGTGAACTAATTACATACTCCGTAATTGAACTATGCGTCTATTGATATAAAACATTCGTCATTCATTCAAATTGATGAAAATTTGCTAAAAAAATTTTTTTATTTAATTTTTCACAAAATAAAAATTTTACCAGATTTTAAAATTTTTTCATTGTTGTCAATCATTTTTTAAATTTGAATGGCATGAATTTTAAATTTTCAAAAGATTTTTTAAAAAGACCAACACTATTCTTTCGGTTCCTTATGACTAAAAGAAAATGAAAAATAAATTTTTACAATGAAATAGTTTTGATATTGTATAACAAGACACCAAAGTTGGTTTTCATTAATTCCCTTATCTGTATATTGTTTTGAACCTTGAAATTCAAATACAAGGGAGGTGAGAGATTATGCATAGAAAAGCAGCATAATAAATGTGTTAAAAGCTTTCTGTACTTGAAGGGTGGTTCATTACTAAAAAACATATACATACGTACATAAATATTTTATGATTAAAATTAATTATTAAAGTAAAATTTAATAAATCTTAAATTGCAAGATATTTTTAAATACTTATTTATTTTTAAAATCACAATGACTACCTGTTTATTTAAAATGGAAAATAAATGATTCAAATTATATACATATTTTAAAATAACACGCTCCTGTTCTTGAAAATATTATCAGATTATTTAAAAATTTGTTTAACGTTTGTTATATAAATATTTTTAATCACGATGAAATTGTACAAATAATTTTTACAAATGGAAAATAATTTTTTTAGGAAAAAGGATCATTTAGAATAAAAACACTATTAATAAGTTAAGAAGGACTATTTTAATAAAAATTATTAATAACATTATTTAAATATTATTCTTAAATTTATATTTACAATTCCAATTCTGGTGTAATAAACACTACGTATTTTAAATTAAGCAGCAGTAAAATTTTTGATTTAAACAAATCTGAAACAAAAGTTAAGATGTTTGTGTTAGGAATCAAAAATGAAAATTAAATTTTGTATTTAAATTTTACGGATTTATTTTGAATCAAATCTCCTTTCCCAGTCTGGGTTCGGGTATTTATGTAAATAATTTTGATTGAAAATGACTTATAGAATTTTCCTTTATTGAATAATACCTTATACAGCAACACTGATTCCAAAATTTTTTATTAGTTGGAAATAATTTATAAGGAATGATATTTCACATGTGGAAATGTTTCTTCATACATAGGCTTATAGGATAAAAAATATAGTAATATTGGCGACATTTATGTTTATTTTCTATAAAAAATCTCGATTTTTCCAAAAACAAACTCATATTTATTGGCTTATAGTGGGTAAATGTATAGAATGGGTATGAACACAATTGGCATGAATAAGTTGAAAAATAATATTTTATATTATAAAATGAAATAATTTAATAATCCGATAATTATATATGACTAAGAAATAAGATCTATATATACTGCAAGTATAAGCAGCAGACCATTTTATAGCAACAAAGCATTTTATTGACAGAAATTATCCTTATTCACAGTTTTGTTCTCAATTATATTTTTAAAAATAATATTATTTTTGTATTATATTTTTAAATAAAATTTGATAATGATTTTAAAAATAAAATATTGTCATTCATTCATTACATCATATGTTCAATTTTCAGTAATGTTATGTACAAAATGAATAAATGATTCATACGTTATTTTCGGGTTCTTAATTTTCTTTTATATACATACTCATTTAGATGCATTGATACATATGTATGTATTTATAGTACATATAAATATACGTATTGTAGTATAATATACATACTTATAGATATTTAGGTATGTAAAGAGTTCTTTTATTTCGAAAAACACCTTTTTACTTTGCTCATGACCTTGTCAATAATATTTGGAAAAATTTTGGTGTTCTTGTTTTTTCATTTTTTATTTTTTTTTTTTTATTTTATTTATTATAAAATATACTTATGTTTATACTTTAGTTTTGCAAAAATGACTAAGTCGAAACAGTAATTTATTATTTTATTACTAAATGTAGTTTTACATATTGAGCATAAAGGAATTTTGTATGTACAATGTGGGAGTATGTAGACACTTGAGCGATTCTAAATTTTTATGCTTTTTTTTAAATTGTACGATCGCAGCAATTTAATTTTTCTTTTTGCAATAATTTCTATTATATTTGTTTTAGTTAATAATTAATATAATAATTAATAATTTGGTCCTTTGAATTTTGTAATAATTTTAAGGTACTATAAGAGGAATTTTTTTAAACTCTATAATATTTACTTACATATTATTATGTATGTTTACATATAAGTGCAATTATATTGCAATAAATTTTGATTTCTATTCAAGTTGGTAATATATGTAAGAGTAAAACTTGCAAAACAATTTTTTTTTTTTATTTTCAATAGTGTTGGTAATTAACATATAAAATCGATTTTATTAAGAAAAAAAAAATTGGCGTAAAAAACATTATTAGAACAAAAGCTTACCCTCAAAATTTAAATAAGTGAATTATAATTACTATCTCTATAAGTGACTAAAAATCTCTATAAGTGGAGCAAAAATCTCAATTTTTAAAATTCCTTCAAGATAGATGAATTTCTATTTGTATATGAATCGATTTAATATAATTATAATCGATGTATTAGAATATGTGTACTTAAATTAACTGTACATATTATATAAGTATAATTAAATACATATAGATATTATGTAGGTATATAAAATTATTTTAAAATTTAAATTCACTGTTATTGAGGATCACTATTCACTGTTATTGTCATTTAAACTTACAGTTATTGAAATTTTTTAATATTTAAATTACTATAAATTACAGTTATTGTTATAAATTTTACATATGTATGTATATATGTATATAT